TAACGAGATTTTGTTTAGGTGTCTTTTTTGCGTGTTTGTGGATGTATATATACACATACTGGTACACGTGAATGTGTATGTCTTTGTTTATTGTTGTTAAAATCAATAAAGACACTGTTGGAATTAAAAAAAAAACAGTACAATTTTGGTTTTGTTTCCACTTCAGGTTTCAAATTGTCTTTTCTGCAACAAATCAAAACATAAACAAGAACAATAGGGATGTGACAGGTGTGTTAACAGAGGGCGTTGTTTCTGGTGATCAAAAATACGGCACTGTTGGAAATCTAAGTTAAAAAAAAAAGTAAGAATGAGGTTCACTGATTTTACCTCTATGTAGACATCTGTGAAACTCTGATCGAATCCTCTCGTGGCTCCAAAGTCCAGCAACGCCACCTGGAGAGACACAATCCAGTGATCACCTTTAATTTTCATTACTCTCAAATCTCTCTGTTAATGCCGTATTGATGTATTTATCATTAATCATAGTAGAAGTAACTATAGTAACAGTGGTATTCAGGCTGTAGGCAGACTCACCCTGTGTGTCTGTGGATCATAGAAGAAGTTGGACCAGTTCGGGTCAGTCTGCATGTACCTGAACTCAAACAGCTCTCTGAGGCACAACATCAAGATGTTCTCACAGATCTGAAACAGACACAAACACCAGGATGTAAGAAAAGCTGGGATTTATGGGAGGAAATGAAAGGAGAGGGGAGGGGGTAAAAACAGAGACAGGTGGCGGCAGAAAGAGTTCCCAGTTCTGCCACCAGAGATGCATCCACCTTTGTATTTACTGATCAGAAAGAAACTAGTTCTGTCTACCACAAACACACATACATACACACATACACCCCCTGAACACATTGAATTAGCTTTCCACTCAAGATGAACACACACATTAGTCTGCTAAACATCTAATGATGCCTTCATCTGTCTGCTTTGTCAGCTGTACCTCGTTCTTCAGCTCCTGTGTGAGGTTCTCAGCCTGGTCGAGGGGAAACCCTGAGACAAGCTCTGTAGTCAGGACATGGCCACCGGACAGCTCGTCTATCACCTCTGGCACGTAGAAGAACGGATGGTCCTTCAGTAGCTCTCTGGGTCAGACAGATGAACAAATACAAAGACATAAATCCAGGTTAGGTAGGCAGGTAGTCCATCCAGAGTCTGTAAATCTATATCTATATTTTGACCTGAAACCAAAGAGTGTAATATGAATCTCTGTACTGCTATGTGTTCCATAACATAGAGACAGCACATTACGCACCACAGCGATGGTGTTAAGAGTTATATCAAGCCATAAATTAAACTCCAATGTGGGTCAGGGTGCAGTTAGCCCTAGAATTAAAGGGTAACTCCAGCACCTTTCAACCTGGATCCTATTTTTACATGTTTTTGTGTTTAATTCCTGAGCACTGATGAAATATAAACATATGTACAACGTATAACACTGTTAGAAAATAACAAGTGATGCTTTAGGAGTAGGCTTTTTTCCCATGTTTTTGAGTGACTAATGGGGACAACAATTTATGAAATTGGCCCGGTATTGAGAGAGAGGGCTGCTGGAATCTACGGCCCAGACACACCAAACTGTCTTCAGAAAACTAGCGGCGACAAAGGCCCGCTGCTGCGTCTTTTGACGGCCAACCAGCATGTACGTTCTGGCCCTGCATGAAAGGAAGTAATTCTCCAAACCACCAGATTGTAATCGTCACTCAAACAGGGAAACTGGATGACCGTCTTTGATGCTAGTTAGCCAGTTAGCACATTAACAACACAACCCAGTGTTGAAACAACAACGCATTTACGTGCGCAAGTGAACAACACAAACCATCACGAAACATTCTGCTCAGAAGCTCAATGGCTAAAGATAGATAATCTTAACTGATGTAACAAGTTTGTTTGGTCTCACTCCCTCTTAACTTAAGCTGTTTGTTTACTTTCCTCACCCCCATTTCTCTTCTCATGAGCTGAGCTGAACTGCCAATCAGAGTCATTTTATTTAACAACGGGCTCTGCCGTCACCAAAGCTGATTCAACATGCTGAATCGGCCAAAAGAAAAGCTGACAGGGGCCAATGAGGGACAACAGCCTGGCACTGACTAAGGACCAACCGTCAGCTTGGTGTGTCAGGGCCCTAACAGCCAAAGCACAGGGGACACAGATGCAGTGGCTTCCAAACCCTCCATAACCAACTGCATGATCACTTGGCAAAACTCAATACACAGACAGTGAAGCTGGCAGCTACCACACACTAAAGAAACAGTCTGTGAAGCAGGTGAAAACCAACTCTGCTCCACTTATGTGCCACGTAGCTTCCACGCCACATGTTAGACATATGCTACATAACACTCACCTGAACTTCTTTGCACACTGGGCTTCTCTAACATAATCACACTCCAGTGCCAGCTCTCTACTCATCACGTCTATCAGGTGCTCTGGAAACAGACCTAAAGAGAGACAAAGACAATGAGGGCAGCTGTGCATGTGTGTGCTGCTCGTGTATTAATGAGAAGGTGAGCGTGATTGTGTTTGTGTTTGAATGTGTACCTTCGGGCAGGGCATTGCTCATATTCAGCACCGTCATCAAGTTGTTGACGTCACTGTTGATACTCTGAGCCACACCGGGGTACTGGGTACAAACAGAGGAAGACACATTTATTACTTTAATTTGCTCATAAAATGTGGAGGGGAAGTACACCATGTTGACATGTTATTAACTCTTCTGTAGTCTCCTTAATCGTAATCACATTTTACACATAATCTATTTACTGTTTTTTAATGCCTCTGATTTCTACACTCATCTGTGTTCTGTAAACAAAGTCAGTAACAGACCAGAGAGGTCAGATTATGTGTGGTTTCTCTCTGACCGCATGTTTGAGAAAAACAAAGAGGATAAACAAATGTGACACACTCTCCAGTTACAGTGTTTCTCTTAATAACATGAGACTGTAGTGTACACACACGTTCACAGTGTACCTGTATTTTCATGGCCACCTCCCTGCCATCCTTCATCCTCGCCAGGTGAACTTGGCCGATGGACGCGGCTGCAAACGGACGGTCCTCAAACGACTCCAGCTTGTCTCTCCAGTTAGGACCCAAGTCACTGTTGAGTGCTTTCTACAGAGGGACACAAGTAGTTGATAATTACATCATCAGTTAAAATATACCTTATCCAATTATATTCCCCAGTTAAAGAAAAAGAAAAGACCCTTACTGTCATTTGTTTGATTGGCATGAAGTCAGCGCTCTGTCTTACACGCTCAAAGATCTTGGCGAGTTGCGGGTTGATGAATGCGTCATCTGAAATACAGAAACACACGTGCGTTTGTCTAAACTGGACAGAAATACAGGTCTGGTATGTAGGTGCAGGCTGGCAGATTGCAATTTTTTAATCCAGGTGTGGTCATTGCTTTTAGATGCCTCTAAAACTCTTATACATGACACAATGCACTCCTTAAATAGGTTCATAGCTTTCAAAAAAACAATATAATCAACAAAACTGATGGGCTAAAATGTCGTTATTCAGCCGAGCTTTGTCAAACATGACAGTGTAAGCCAGAAAATTGTATGTGGTCAAGTGAAATCACAAAAGCCCCGTTTCCACCAAACACTTTCAGTATGGTACCTTTGGAACCAACAGTAACCCTTCAGACATGGTACCTAGACCCTAGTGTTTCCACCACAAACAGTACCATTTAATGTGGACGGGGTTGTTGTCACTCACTGCTCCGTCCAGCACTCACTGTATTTCCTCCTGTATCAGTCTGCACCTGGTTTATCATCCACAGAACGAGGCTGCATGCTGACATGTTCAGAACAAAATCAAACAGGCTGCAGTGAGAGTCTCTCTCCATGGGATATTTAAAAATAGCAAGTTTGTGCATTTAGTCCTTCTCAGGCAAGCTCAGGGGTTTAGTGTTGCTGCAGCCCACAGGAACAACACTCCACAATGCTTCTTCTTCCTCAGAGTGAGGATTAGAATATATGCAGTTCACATAATCCAGTCGAAATTAATATATAGTAACGCTTGAAGATCCACTCATTAATAAAAGTGTGTCATATAAAAACTAAAGTGATGGTCAAAGTTGTCACAGTGAAATTTAAGGTGTGTTGATTGATTTATGTCTTCACCTCAGCAAAACATCCTTTCATTTTAAAGTTACAGTTTACTAATAAAACTCTCTATAGTATGAACAGTGGTTACATGAGCCTCAAAACTAACTCAGTCCTGAGCAGAGTGACCGTCCTCTATTGATCAATCAACAGACTGCAGTGTTCACAGCTCCACCTTTTAGTACCAGATCTGTGTGCTAGGTACCCCAACAGAGGGGGGACCAAAAATGGGGATGTTTGGAACGATTCCACTGGTACCATCCACAACTTTTCACAGCCGAAACAGAAATCAACTGAACTGAACTGCACTGAACTGAACTGAACTGAACTGAACTGCTCGGTGAAACGGGGCTAAAGATTCCAGGTTTAATTACAGTCAATAATACTTTATTCCATTAAAAGCTTATTTTGGCAGCTACAAATATTATCTTGGCTGATAGTGCTGATGATATAAATAATCAGCACTTTAAACTCAATTATCAGTTTTAAAATAGCTTCAGTCCCCTCAAGGTTGACACTATTTTGGAGCGGGGCTAAAGGGCACAATGGTTGGACGCACAATCATCCGGCCACAACTGAATTCCTGCCCTGACAGATAAATGTCAGCAGTGCACAAAGGCCACTGTGGTGACTTTCATCATCCAGATATACTTGACTCCAGCCATGTTTTAGTGTTCTCTATTATTCTGTAAGATTCTCTAAGTCTTTCAACCTTGTTCACTCTCTGTAAGTAGAGCTGGGACTTGAGTGTGTGTGTCTAGCCACGGTAGATTACTGTGACCTTTTTATCCATTTTAGATTTGAGAATCAACTTGTTGCCACCTTGGCGACAGAGTAAAGCTGTGCCAGTTCTGCAAATAACCGCACTCATGTACACAAGGTCAGTCCAGTGTGCTGAGTCCTGGTTAGCACACACTGGGCTGCCAGTGTCCTTTTCTCACCTATTACAATTTTGGGGATTTATCGCACTCACTCCGCTTAACTGTCTGTGTAAAGTGTACACTAATATGTTATAAGCTCAGTATGTGAATGCCAAAGAGCAAGGGTCAGCAGCCAAGGTCAGGCAGCAGGGACAACAGAGATAAACAAAATTAATGATGTGTTTAGTGCTGTTACGTGATCCAGGCGAACTCTGTGCCAGAATGTTTACGGCCACCGGCCTGCCGCTCTTGAACTTTGTCTGGTGAATGTGTGCCAAACACAAGCTAATATTAACCTACATTACGGCTGATTCTCAGCTGCTGCTACCTGCGTGTTTGTGTGTGGGAAAGGGTCGATATCAAAGCACTGACAAAGCATACAGGAAGGCATCTACAGCTCACCAAAACACCACTTCATCTGTACTGAGTCAGATGTCTGATAGAGATGCACAGTGGGGACATTTTCCCCACAGTTGATCGTCTTATTAGTGGAACACTGTATCATTGGTCACACTTTACTATCAGCCAGTATTCGCCTTGTTGACTGCCATCAACCTATCAGCAAATAAGATTACATTCACTAACGGCAGCGGCCAATGTTTCTCCGTTGTGTCACATCAATTTTGCCCAGGCTAAAAGCAGGGCTCCGAACTCTCGGTGTCTGGTTGTCCTGGAGACAATAGAAAACATGTTTGGGACAGGGAGAGATCTTCCCAGGAAGACAAGATGCAGTACACTCACTTTCTGTGCACCAGGGGACGCACTCTAGTGTTTCCCTGATAAAGCTGCATTGTGAACATCATATCCATGTTGACATCAGCAGGAGGAGAGCTGGTTAACGTTAGCTATTAGCAGCTGATGGCCAGAATTAACAGCTAACGCAGGTTGTGCCGAGTTAAATTATGGTGCATTTAAGCTCTCCTCTGTAAAATGAGCATTGGTCGAAGGTAAGTTATAACAACACTCTCATGATGTGTTCTAATGTAATCCTGTAAAATGTAGTTTTTGGTGAGAAACTTTAATAAATATGGTTGTTTGAAAGAGAAATTGTGCTCATCCAAAGTTAGTGTAATGTTTTCTAATGTATGAGAAAGATTTTTTGTTTCCCTGGCAGAAAAGGGGGAATAAATAACAACAAAAACAAAATAAACAACAACAAAACAACATCGGAATCAGTATTGGCCAGAATTGTTATTTTAAACATCAATGCATCCCTAATTACAGCTTTTACTTAATTTTACACAAAAATAGTGCTGTAGTACATCACTGCTGATACAAACCAAACATTTCCTCCTGCTGCAGCTTCACTTCAAAAGCATTTAACTGGCGAAACACGAGTTGACTTGTATTATGTAGTATTCACAGGAAATGCAATGCATGTGTCAGTGAGATTAGCACTACCTCTACTGTTCAACAAAAGTGCACCTATAAAACAAGACAATGCTCATTTTTGGCATTTGTTGACAACAGATCAGTTTGAAATATTGCAGGGAGTAATTGAAGAAGAGAAGCTGCAGGCGACAAGCTGCACACCTCCAACTTCTTAGCGATGTAACCAACTCCTTTCCCTTTATTAGCATATTCAGGTTCCCTATGAGCACCGGGTTTAAATCCAAAATATTTCCAAATAGGTGAATTTGTTTTTTGTTTTTTTTACACCAAATTCTCCTGTCAGTCAACTCAACCATATGAGTGAAATCTGACTTCTGCTACTCAGTCAAAATGATGGTGGGGGTGGTGGGCATAATGTAATCAGAGTGTACCCAAACACCTTGCAACCACAGACTCTAAAAATAATGGCTGTAGCTGCTGTGTTGGCCCCACTGATTTGTGGACTCGTGTTTTAAAGTCTCAAGTTTGGCATTTTGGCCATCGCCATCTTGCTTTTTTGGGGCAAGACGTGACTATATCTGGGCGAGAGGCTGGAGCTGTGAAGGAGCGGGGGTGGATCTGACTGAGAAGCCAAATACACTATCAGACAGCCTGTCACTCAATGCCACCACGTCCTTCATTTTGAGTAACTTTAAGCCTTAATAAAATGTAAGCGGGTGAGTTATAGAAAAATTCACCTTTGTACAGTTGTCATGACTTGGGGATATTAGCTTTAGACACCAAAACTGTTTTTGTACCAGGCTGTAAACATGTTTATATCTACTATAAAGTTGGGGTCTATGAGGATTGATTGGCTTCTGGAGCCAGCCTTGTCACTTCCGTATGGGCTTCATTATTCAGCCCTGGAGGGTGCCGCTTGCATGTAACACTGGTAACACCAACTTCTACGGCATGCTTGATGTATGTACAGTATGTGTTTGTCACACACCTTGAATGCTGAGCATTTGTCCCAGTTTTAATGCAGCTCCTCTCACTTTACACAGGGTTCTGACAATGCGTTCGGCGTTGGCCTCGTTCAGGAAGGGGCTGGAGTCCAGAACAGCTTTTTTAGAGTCAGCTGCAAAAGAACAAAACAGAGAGGATGTTGGTTCCTGTTGCGTACAATGCCTCCTCTGACAACCTGTCTCAACACTGAAGTCATACTTGAGAGCTAAAGTTTTATCTACATCTGTAGCTATGCAACTGTTTTTTGTTTTATGAACAGGTGATTTGGAATGATCAATCTCAATATCACTAGCTTAAGGTTCAAGGTTATATAAAATATGTGCATGTGTATACGGCCTTGCCTTAGTAGATGTGTGTGTCTGTGTGTATATGTGTCAGTAGGTCGTCAGGTAGTGTGTTTTAGTGTGTCTGAAGCTGCCTTCAGAGGCTTTAGCAGAGATTTACCACACACACACACACACTTACGAGTGTGTTGAGTTCGTCCCTGCTGGGATTAACGCACACTCAGACAAATGCTCAGAAACAGACGCACAAATGCCACAGATTTACGCCCGTACGCTGCTTCAGCTTAGCTCTGTTTTGGGATTAGCAGGCTCGCTGTGCAGAGCAAGAATGTCTGTTTAGCTGGCAGGTTGGTGTGGGAGGCAGCCTGATTGCTAACTGCGTTCGGTTGACATACACAACGTGTGCAGCGTGTACCAACATGCAAGAAGGATGGGCAGTGAATGATGCTAGCTTTTACAGTGGCGCTATTCATCAGGAAGGCAGCTGCAAAGTCTAATAATAAACAGAAACATAAAAACCGGTCCTTGCAGGCAAAAAACTCGGCCAAGACGCGGCCTACTTTATTTACTTTGCTCATTTTTCTGCCTACACAAAGCCATGGCACAACACATTCTGAACCATGCAGCATGACAACGGTGAAACTGGCCTTGTACAGTCCTAGACAGGATTAACCTGCTGTAAGACTTCAAAATTTCACAATTTAAACACAGAATTCAAACATTTGAATCTCATAAATACCTGAACATCGATGCAAATGCAATCACAGCCTTTTTATGTGCAGCTGTGTGGTTAAGAAAATGTTAGCCGTGGAAGCTGTGCAAGCGTGGGTGTGTTAGTCTCGTTACCTGCCGCACCATTATGTCTCATGGTCTTCTTGGCAACTTCTGCAAGTGCTCCGATCCCCAAACCTACAGCTAGACCTGGCGGAAATACAAAGACAGCAACAACAACACAATTAATGTGGAGTGGCACAAAGGGTAACTTCGGTACTTTTCAACCTGGAGGACTAATGGGAACAGTAACTTTTGAAACTGATCCAGTTTTGAGGGAGAGTGCTGCAGCCTGCAAAATAACAACTTGGCATGCTCACACTGTCGATTTACACCCACTAAAATTGTTTGTTTTTGCCACTGGCAGGCTCAGATTGTTATTATAAGTGTCTGACAACATTATGGAAAGGATCCCTACAGAGATCAACCTTTTTGTTAAACCTTTTGTCCTGTTTTTGTCTAAACTGGACAGAAATGTAGGTCCTGTATGTGGGCACAGGCTGACAGATTTCACCAAAAAAAAATCTGATTATGGTGAATTTCCAAAGGCATCAAAAACTGCCGTCAAATACAAGCAAATGGCAGTTTTTTTTTACTCCAGGTGTGGTCATTGCTTTTAAAAAACTGTAAAACAGTCATAATGCACTCATTAAGTAGAGGTCCATGGCTTTTGAAAAAAACAATATATTAACAACGCTGATGGGCTGTGCATTTTCCCATTACAGTATAAGCCCCGTTCCCACCAAACACTTTCAGTATGGTACCTTTGGAACCAACAGTAACCCTTCAGACATGGTAGCTAGACCCTAGCGTTTCCACTGCAAACAGTCCTCTTAAATGTGGGCGGGGTTGTTGTCACTCGCTGCTCCATCCAGCACTCACTGTATTTCTTCCTTTATCAGTCTGCACCTCATTTATCATCCACAGAACGAGGCTGTGCGCCAACATTACCAGAACAAACTAGAACAGGCTGCAGTGAGAGTCTCTCTCCATGGGTACTGACAGTGTCTGCAACTGACTGTGACTTATAACAGAAAATATGGAAATGTAGAAATGTAGATGCTATGTAAAAGTTTACCATCAGCCAAGACTTAATTACGTGCAGGTATCAGTGAGTTATAATGCTATGTGACATCAATAAAGAGTTATTTCTTGCTGTTTAGATGGATGATGATGAAACTACTCTGAATATGTCATATAAAACACTTTAAAGTAACACCAGAATGTTTCTGCTGCTGAAGTCATGGCTGGAAAGGTAGCCTAGAGAAAGACTGATGAGGTCTATCTGACCGTAGTGTAGGCTTTAGAATAACGGGAGCTGATTAACTGTGTGTGGATTATTAGTTTTACTGATAAATTTATCCTAGTTCTCATCACATAGGTGTCTCGTGTTATTTTGAGCTGCAGTGATGAAATCAGGTGTAAAAGTAGCAGCACTTTCAATGATCAATGCGAACTTTGTGTAAGTTCAAATAGTGCTAAAATCATGTATTTAGTGTGTAAACAATCTCTCCGTTTGTTAGAAGCTCTGTTTTAAAACAGTGGAAATAGAGCCCTGGAGCAATGAAATGATTCTACTGACCTAAAACAATATGTAGACTACACTTTTTTACCTCCGACTCCAGACAAACAATAACAATCTCATATGTCAGAGAGCATAAAAAGGTTGTAAAACAAGACATAAAAGCACAGTCATACAGTGACTCTGTAAAAACATCCTTTGGTGAGTTTACCCGTGTATAAACAGTCAGGTGTCTCAGTGGGAATGAATGCTTTTCCAATTAAAAATAACATGACACCGAGCCAAATAAAACATAAGCAGATAAACACATTCATTACCTCGGCAGTGTGCAATGACAGAACTCTAACAGCTGCACTGCTAATTCAACGGAGCACATGGAAATAACATCCATCATTTAATCTTATCAACAATTAAGCTCTTAAAAATACTTAATCCTCTGTAAAGGTTAGATGGCAAGTTTGGCAGATAATGACAAGAATAAAGAGCGAGTGCGTTCGGGGCTGTTTGTGCACGAGTTCTCCCCAACCTGGTCTCTCGCTTACATAACTCAGCATTACATAATCAGTTAGTCAGCGGTCTCTGAAGCGACAAATCTGAGATCCAACGGTAGATGGACAAATCAGGACACAGCGTGCTCCAGTGTCTTGTGTCCAAGCTGGCTGAGCGTTTCTTCATGGGTCAACTATGTGTCAGCACCTCTATTGTTGGAGACGGTTCTGACCAGTGGGAATGAGGATGTGCGTCACACTTTGTGAGAAAACGTGTTGAGTTTTTTACTACATAAGAGTGTGTGTTACCTTGTGTAACCTCATACAGTATTATCTGATTCTTTCTGTGTGTGTACAGACTGACCTCTGTACACCACTTGCAAGCTCTGAAACATGATTTCCTGCTCTTTCATTTGATTTCAGGAGAACAAAGACAAGAAAAGCTCAAATAAACAGTCCTTGTTCCTCACAGAAAGTATTTCTATGCGTGCCAACAGCGAGACATCAAAGCAAGGTTGCTAAAATTGCTGTTGCCAGGAAACATGTCGACATATTTATAGTACTTTTCTGCTTTTTCTCTCACCTAGACCTGCATTCATTATCTCCACACAAGGCTGTGAATAACACAAGATCAGCCGAGATAAAACATGTGTAACTTTGTCAACAACTGCTGCAGGAAGGTGAAGGACAGACAGAGGCCACGTTCCTCCGCCCCTCCCCTCCGTATCTGACACCTTCTAAATGTTACCACTGTCAACATGCTGAATCAACTCTGCTCTGCCCTCTGCGTCTCAGGCCTTGTTTACACCTGGTCCTGACATGCGTCCTGGGTGATCGGATCACAAGTGGAAAGCTGTAAGTACATCAGTTCACACCTGCTATTAGAACACATCTCTACACATGTCCTAAGTGACCACTTGTGATTAGATCTTATGTCCCTGCTCTACATGCAAATAAACACATGCATCATTTTCCTTTGCAAAGACCAGATGTGTTGCTGTTTTTAACAGGTGGGAGGCAGGAATGCACTTCCTGTGCCTAGTGTGCTGGAAGTAAAGAGAGAGGAAGAAGAAGTGGTGGATTTCCCAGGAAGAAGAAGATGAAGAAGAAAAGAGTCAAGAAAAAAGCAGACTCCCTGTGAATAGGCTGCTGGAAATCAAAAGAAGAAGAAGACGTGCATTTCCCATGAAGAAGAAGAAGAAAAAAGAAAAAAATAAGAAAGAAGAAAAGGAAAAAGTAGAAGAAGACTTCCTGTGCATAGTCTGCTGGAAATTAACACAAGAGGAAGGAGAAGAACTGCATTTCCCATGAAGAAGACAGGAACGAGGAAGAGAGAGGAAGAAGAAGAAAGGGAAGAAGGAAGCAGCAGGAGAGGAAGAAGAAAATGAAAAAGACGAGGAAGACTTCTGGTGCAAAGAAGAAAAAGCAGAAGGCTTCCTGTGAATAGTCTGCTGAAAATTAAGAGGAAGAAGAAAAAGAAGAAAAAGGAGAAGAAGACAACGAACAAGAACAAGATGACAACAACCTCCTGTGCACTTCCCATGCCTAGTCTGCTGGAAATTAAAGGAAGAGGAAGAAGAATTGCATTTCCCATGAAGAACAGAAAGACGAAGAACAAGAACAAGAAGAAAGGGAAGAAAGAAGGGCTGAATCCAAATGTCCAGACTTCACCCCACTTGCAGGCTGGCGGATTTTGCGGGCATGTTCCCAGCAAGTCTGGGAGTGCTGAGGGCTGTCCAAATCCACAATTCATCAAGTCCTTACGGGGCCTCAAGTGGACTTTCTGCAGACTTCCAGAGAGTCCACTTGGGGTGCAGACTTATCAGACTTCACTGATTTTATAACCCACAATAATTCATTGCCATACTCACATGACATTGTTTTCAACTGCCAAATAAAATATCTTATGAATGGGTAAAACAGTTACACAGAGATGTATTAATACATTTTTGTTCAGTCACAAAAAAAGGCTATATATGGGATTCTGCCCTCGCAGACCTTACGTGATGATGTGATACGTCACACTACAAACAACTGAAGTCAGCCAGGGCTCAGTCCACAAGGGTGGATGTTTGGATCCAGCCAAGAAGAAGAGGAGGAAGAAGTTTGCAAAGAAATTAGCACACAGGCAAAATCAAATCGATATAGGTGGGATCATGCTCTTTAATTTTTGTGGCTTCTTTTTGTTTTTTCACACTTTAAAATGATGCTGTTCATACCTAAATGAGTACGTACTGACACAGAGTATGTCAGCTCAGTAGGCGGCCCTTTAATGTAGCCTAGGACACATGCGCGTATGCACTGCTAACAGAATATGGCCATATGCGGCCCAGACCACCTCAAAATGTGTTTTGGGTGCATTCCAGGGTTTTCCCTGCATATCTAAGACAAAGGCGGGTCGCCTGGGTGATTTTGGCCGCCGCCTTGGTTAAAGCATGTGGTTGTGCATGGGGGGTGTTGAGATGTAGCGTCTTTTGCGCGCACAAACCCATTACTTTCAATGTAGATGCTCGTCATGCTTGCTCACAACCCAAAGCGATGCCGTAGCGGCGTGCATTCGGTGCGACGCGCTTGTTTTTTTGTCCGGCGCACAGCTCCACGGACCTGCTTCTCCCTCCAGTGTTGTGTCAGATCCCGGTTACCCCTCGAGCTGTGTCTCTCCTCCTGTTTCCCATGGAGCTCTGCCCCTTTTGAAAGGCGAAGGAAGCCCGTATGTGGAAAGACGTCGCCTCCTAGACATAGAATGTGTATTATAGAAGAGAAACACACATTTCAGGACTGCTGACTTGTATCATCAGAACAGACATATCCTGTGATTTTCAGCCTCCTTTCATATCTAATAGAGGGGGGACAATACCTGACAGTAATATTCTCAGCTGTCAGGATGTGCCTGCTGTAACGGGTAAATATAATCATAGAAGGCTGAAAATCACAGGGCATGTCTGTTCTGATTATACAAGTCAGCAGTGTAAAGCTCAAGCATGTGGGGGCCTCCTTTTATACATTCGTACCAGGCGTAAACAGGGTCTCATTGTATGTGGCTTATGTAACTCCCATTTGTTTGGTATGAGCTGCGGCTGAACTCTGCTGGTGTATTATTTGTGTTGGCAGTCCTGTCTGACCCATCTGAGTCTCTGCTCGAGGTTCACTCTTGTACACAGTTCATGTTTACCCTCACTCTGAGCTTTTAGCTTCTCTGCACATCTTTACACCACCTGTTAACTTATCCATCATCCATCTGAAATGAAGCTACGAGCTGCTGACTTGCAAGCTCTGACGTGTCATGTTAAACCATGTCTCGAGCTAGTTGGGAGATTTTCAGTGTGCCTGTGTGCATATGTGTGTTTTAGCCTTTGAATAAGCTTATCGCTGAGAGCACATCCTGTTTAGATATGACTTTAACACTCACATCTCTGCACCTGCCAACATGTCAATATTAGATTCAATATTTATCAGCAGTGGCTGGCGTATAACTTAAACCAAAAATAAGCACAAAATGCACGCCATGTACAGTGAGACCAGCCTTTCACTTTGCTTACAACTGCTACAATTTTGGATTTTGTTGTTCTCGTTTTTCTCTCACTCGTTTTTGGATATACCGAGCTGGCTGCAGTCATTTTTGTGTTTCAGTATGTCCCGGCTAATAGGCTTAGAGAATGGGCAACATGGTCAAACAGAAGATTAACCAACACACAATCTGCAGCGCACACTCACACAGACTTCGTTACAACTGCTGCTGCGCTCTCTCAGTCTGTAGATGATTATCAGGAAGTGTTTTTATTTTGAAAGCAACACATGTCCAATAATAAGGGCATGATATGGTTGGCCTAATTTCAAGAGGTGCTTGTTTAAGAACAGGTCCAGGGCTTGGGCACTTGACAAAACACACATTGTGGTTACATTCCTCTATGTTGTGTTTCTTTTTCCTTCTAACGCTGTGCTGTTTTGTGATTATTGGCATGTAAATATGTCTGTGCCTACTGCGTATACATTCAGTGGTGCTCTCTTGACATTAGTATCAATATAGACTTTGAGACAGGCATGTGCTGCTGACACAACACCCACTGCCCTAAACCCTGTGACCCCAGCTTACTGAGGGGGTGGTAGGGTATAGTTTGACTAGATTACACGGTTAGGTTTCCAGAACTTCACCAACAATTTAATGTCACGTGACAAGCATGACCTATTTTTTCAAACTGTGAGAACATCTTGCAGCTAACTAACCTGAGGGAAACTACATGATGTTTGATTTTCTCTTGCGTTGTGTATTGATTTCAGAGTCGGCCCCATGAGGTCTCTTCTGCTCAGTATACTAGAATGATTGTTTTACCAACTTCTATTGAGAAACTGCACAGACTAAACTATATATCTGCAGATAAAGTCAGACAGTTGGAACTTGCAGATTTGCACGCACACACACATACCTACAGACACAGTCAAACAAACAGCCAATGAATCAGCCAACACTGATACAGCGTAACAAAGAGCTGTATTACTGTACCTCCAAAGTTGGCCAGTCTGCCGAGCCGAGTCACCGGCACTTTCCTCTCTCTGGCTCTCTCACTCAACTAAAGACAGACAGACCAGTAAAGAAAACTTGTTATCAAAATGTCAGTTTGTATTGAAAGGTACATGTTTACTGAGGCTGAGACAATTCTATCATACCGCAACAAATAAGTGGACAATAAAATGCACATGTACAATAGAACAAATAAAATACATACTTTTTGAATTTAGCTGTCCATGCAGTGTTTCCCATACATTGATTTATTTGTGGCGGCTGCCCCAATATCAACACTGACCACCACATAAAGATTTTACTTTTTTTTTTTTTAACCACATAAAATCTATAACATATTATTTCATTGTAGAGCTATGTGTAGTTCATTGATTAGCTCAGCCCCTCCTCGACCTGCTTTCACTCTCAGTTTATCAGACCAAAAATGAGACATGGATTAGCCCACGCACTCTGTGGTTCCTCCCCTTCGCTCCCTGCTACTAGGAGGCAGCAGCTCCTGTTAGCAGTCAGCTGTAGCAACTCAAATTCAGCTAAAGCAAATCCCAGCACCAGGTGTCACAGTGGGTTGTGTAACAGCAGCAACAGAAAGTTTGCTGATCTGTAAGGAAGGGCAGGCCAGGATCAGAAGCCCAGCACTGGGGTTTGTACTTGCTGAATTCGAGTTGCTGCAGATTTAAGGTCCTTGTCTTTGGACTTTCTGATTTTCTCGCTTGTTTTTCTTAAAACAGATATGATGTCACCTTACTCACAGACTACCACAATAAAAGCGATAACTTCTTTCCACCTCGCATGGACTAAATTGAAGCAATGTAATTCAGGGTTCCCACACCTTCGTAAACATGAAATTCAAGGACTTTTCATGGACTTCCCAGGCCAAATTCCCCAAAAATCAAGGACCCAACACAGCATAGTTTGAGACAAGGATCAAAGTTAATTACTGTTACAACAAAGAGGATTTATAATGAGGTGGTTCGTAATCTTGTTGTTATTGTCATTGTGTCTTAATAGTGTGAAATTTTTGTTATTGTTGTTGTCTGAAGATGTTGTTCTGTGACAACGTTTTTATATTTGTTTGTATTCATGTGTGCTTGTTTGTTTTATACTATAGTGTTAGATCTGTTCCTGCTCAGGGACTACAGATGAAAATTAGCTAGTAGCTAACTCTGGTATGGCTGAGAGCTGTGCAATGTCCCTGTTAAATAAACAAATAAATAAATAAATAAATAAATAAAACAAGCCAACAGAACTTAGCTAGTGCTAACTAATGTCTGTGGAGATTTGTTTTGCCTCCAGCTAAGCCCCGCCTACCAAAAAACATCATACTGTTTACTAACAGTAAAAGAGTCTATCATTTCCTGCATGGATATTCACATCAGTAGGCTGAGTTGAGTTGTGTAAACATATCTATAAAAGTCTCTCCTGACTGAGTGAGTTTTGCTTTGTTTGATGAGCATGTGGCCTTTAACACGAGATAACACTGANCTGAGAGCTGTGCAATGTCCCTGTTAAATAAACAAATAAATAAATAAATAAATAAATAAATAAATAAATAAATAATAGAAGTAGCAGGCTTTACAGAAGCTGACAGAAAAAGAGAGAGAAGCTTGAATGTGTGAATGTGTGATACAGTGAAGGCAAAAATATGCCATCCCATGCCTTCTCAAACACAGCACGGCAAGACAATATAATGTGTAAACTGAGGGTTAGAGACCGATCATTTCCATTCTTTCACAAAATAAACAAATTCAAGCACTTTCAATGACCCAAGTCTATTTATGTCTACTGGTATTTTCAAAACTTTTTTCTCCCTAAAATTTGCAAACTTTCAAGGATTTCTAGGTCTTGTGGGAACCCTGTGAATTTAAATTATTTTGATTCAGCCATTAAAAAATTTATTTAAAAATATATATTATAAACAACTGGACTTACAATAGAGCACTTAAGCTCACCATGACCTATATGACTGAGAATCTTCACCAACAATATTTATAGGGTTTTTCGCAGAGGAATTCAGGAACCAAATGAAAACTGCAATAACAGTTGCAATGCTGTCTCTGATTTGTTTTGTGTCAATCAATTTTTGGGCTTTTCTGCCTTTGTTAATAGGATAGATAGTCCAGAAAGGTTGGAGAGAGGGGGGGACGACACACAACAAGAGGCTACAGGTCGGCATTGAACCCAGGCCACTGCAAATAACTCAGCCTACATTAGGTGCATACTCTGCCAGGTGAGCCAGAGGTCGCCCCGCTGCCTCGGATTCTGAGCCTATTCCTGTGAGCATTCAGTGTTAACTACAGAATCTATTTTTAATGGTGCACGTGTGTGTGGGTGAGTGTAATTCAAGGGCGGGCATTCAAAGCAGCGCTGAAGGTATGTCTCCATGAGCTGCTCTTTTCTTGCTCTCTCTGCCCAGTTAGTACGAGCTAACAAAGCAGCAGCAGCAAACATTCAACACTGAGCTGCTAAACTGTCCCAACATTCTCACACTGACACCGAAATGGCTCGATTCTGTCGTTAAACCCGTTAATAACCACTGGGTAATGTTAGCTGTGTGATGGTAACACTCAGCCCTGTCGGTGTATGTGTTTGACTCTGTCCCAGGCACAGAGCTCACACTCCTGCAGCAGTAGTCTCATGATAAACACAGAGAGAGCAGGGCAAGGAGGGGCTGAGAAAATCAATACGCTGCATGCAGCTCTACAATTAACTGAGATTTTACTCATTTAAAATGGTCAAATTTACGGTCAAGCTGCGGTGAAGGACTGCCTAATGTTTACATTAATGTCCATGTGTGTTTGTGTTAGGAATTTAAAGTGAGAAAGAGGAATTACCATCTGTTTGTGTGACTTGAACTGAGCCTTCTTTTCCTGCCTTGCCTTCTCGATGTCTTCAGCCGTCAGCCCTCCGACTGATGACGGGTCCTGATGGTAGCTCCTGAGCTGACTGACCTGATGCTGACAGTATAGCTGTCCCCACAAATGCCTGTTCAATCTGTGGTTGTAGAAATGTCTGCCACACCCAAAACAAAAGTGATTACTTTTATCCTCTTAACAGCAGTATAAACATGTACACGGTAGACTGCAATTGAGTGACAGACTATTTATACCTGGCATCTTGGTGGAAAGATCTAGTCTGTCCACTAAACTGTTTGCTGGGATCGTTGTATCCCTCAAACAATGACTGTTTTCCACTGGCATGGCTTTCTCCAGCTGCTGCGCTGTGATGGGCTGCGGCATCATCACTACCTCCTGTGTGATTGGCTGTAAAGTCCACATCTTCCTTCCTGAACTCTGAAGCTGTGAATGCGCTGTCATCCTGTGGAAAATCAAATTCGGAGGAAGAGGTCTGCTGCTGGCCGGACAGCTCCTGGACAAACACATACATGGAGACAAAAGTAAATCATACTCATAGTGTTGTTTTGATATTAAATGCGACATACAGTTCTTTATCAATGCTAAGCTACGCAGCCAATTTTCACAGAAGTAAAACACAGACATACAGACCTGCATTTTCATTATGGCCGCAGACAGGCCTTGCTCGGCAGCTGATTGGACACTTTGGACTGCAGCACCAACTCCTTGGACACCTAGGTTATAAATAACAAAAAATACTTTATTATCAATTCTTTCCACTTCTTAGCATTTTCATCACTGGGTCCATTTGTTTGGGAGAGGAGGAGACCTCTGCAGATAATTCAGCTCATGCTAAAAACCTCCTGAACATCTGGATCTTAAAGTGTCAAGAGAAAAAAGGTGGTTACACATTAGCAGGTGCTACGCCAGCTTTATTCAGTGTTTTTACCGGTTTTAATCGCTGGGTCTGTTTGTTTTGGAGAAAGGGAGACCTTTGCAGATCATTTGGCTCATGGTCAAAACCTCCTGAACGTCTGGATCAGAAATAAGCTGTGCAAACATTGAGTTATCAGAGAAGGTAGATGAGCACACATCAGAAGGCACGGGGTGAACAGTCTGTCTGTGACGTGCGAAACAGCATACAGATACTGCGTAACAGCACTGCAGATAATTCGGCTACCAGTAAAAACCTCCCAAATAATGAACACTGAAGAAATTCTAACCAGTAGAAGTTTCAGCTGGTTTCAATCTGAAATTCTCCTCTCTAGATGCCACTAAATCTCCCTAAATGTCACACACTGACCCTTTAATGTACTGTAGCAATAACCTTTTTAAACCCTTTAAGTGGATAAAAATGTAGCATCATTTCTTTCTGTCTGTTAGCATTTTTGCAAACACTACTTTCCAACCAAAGTCTAACAGTAATGCTAGCCACAGGTTAGTGTATTGTACTGGCATTAGCAGGTTAACTAACCTTTTCAGAAACTAAACATTAAACTTTTTTTAATGAAACCTTTTATTATATAGTAAAAAATATAAAAAAATGTACCATCAAATCTTTCTGCTTGTTAGCATTTTTGCTAACATTACTTTTCAACCAATGTATAACAGTAATGCTAGCCACAGGTTAATGTACTGTATTGGAGTTAGCAGGTTAGATAATTTTTCAAAAACTAAACACTAAACTTTTTAATATTAAACCTTTTATTTGTTAAACACTCAAAGATATAGAACAAAAATGTATTATCAAATCTTTCTGCTTATTAGCATTTTTGCTAACACTACTTTTCAACCGACGTCTTTCGGTAATGCTAGCCACAGGTTAGTGTATTGTGTTGGAGTTAGCATGTTAGCTAACCTTTTTAGAAACTCGTAACTACACATTAAACTTTTTTTTTTTAAATAAGCCTATTATTTAATACTCAACAGTACAGAAAAATGTATTAGCAAATCGTTCTGCTTGTTAGCATTTGCGTTAAAATTAATGTTCCACTAATGTATAAAGGTAATGCTAGCCAAAGGTTAGTGTACTGTATTGGAGTTAGCAGGTTAGCTAACCTTCTCAAGAACTAAACACTAAACTTATTTTAATTAAACCTTTTATTTGTTTAACAAAAAATGTAAAAAGAATGTATTATCAAATCATTCTGCTTGTTACTTTTCAACCAATGTGTGAAGCTAATCACAAGCTAGCCTGTCATCATGTTAGCTAATGAGCAAGTTAGCTAAAGGTTTTAATGCAGAACATAATGGATGCTAACAAGGCAGTAAAGAGTGGTTCAAAGACAAATGCTGAAACTCTTTCTTTCTTTGACACGCAGACTGTGTATAAAGATGGATGACGTGTCTAAGATGGACGACATGTCTCCACTCACCCCCACCATACATAGGTGAAGCTAAAATATCCCTGATATGGCTGCTGCCAGGGAGTGATTGAGATGTTTCGGCTTCACTTTTGGGAAGCTGTCATATCGTCCATCTTTATATATAGCCTATGGTTTGACAATGTGTCGGAAACTAAACAGGTATGTTGATCTTACCTGCTCCACTGCGCAGGGTGCTGCCCTGAGTCTCTGCAACGGCCTGGCTCAACTTGGCCAAGCCTCGCATCAGTAACATCATATCGCCTGCCATGATGGACTAGAGACAGAGACAGAAAGGAGGACAGGAGGATAAGAACCGTTAGTTATGCTACTGTACATCTCCTCCCAAACACAGAGAGCACAGTAACAAGAACAGGTACATACTGTCCATCAACAATAGAGACAGAAATAACAACTTGCCAGTAAAGGTGAGAGACAAAGACATGCCGATAGACAACAAGGCAGATGGAGACGTAAATAAAACCTGTCGTCAAAACACATTCAGCTGCCAAACAGACACACTCACAAACACACACACAGCTGTCACATCAACTTTAATACTTTGTCTAAAAATACTTGTGACCTCCAATCTCTGTGTGAGCGCCACACACACACACACACACACACACACTCACACAAGAAAAGGAAAGAAGCATGCTGTGTATGCAAGTGTGCTGTGCAGATATGTGCACGTGGTTCCAGGACTGGATATGAAAATGTCACTGGAAACTAGGAGGGAGGAGCTGCGGAGTCGCTAGCTGTTGCCTGTTCCAGCTATTTCTGTGCATGAGTGAATGTGGGGGCACGTTTGGTTCATGTACAAGGTTTGCCGTCACCTCTTCCCGTTTCTCTCTGCAACTGATAGGCCTGTGAGATTGAACTCTATTAAAAGACCCATCTCAAATATTCCACCATTTCTTTCCAGGAATTAATCCGGTATGTCTTTTAATAAGTAAAACAGTTGACTCATTTACCCATTAAGCTTAAACTGTGGTGCGATAACACTTGTGAACATATGTCAGGGTCCATACAGGACACAAGTAAAAGTACAATTCACTGCTATCCAAACAACAGAGCTCCCACTGCATTCCTGTCTCTGTCGCAATCTGCGGTATTCCCGAGTGTGTTTGTCAGAGTGTTACAGGTGCTTTTCTGAGGGTGTGACAGCATGCTTCAACACAGCTCAGCTGGGATTTGGGCCAATGGAAAAAGCTGTTGCAGAGAGCGTCGGAGCAGTATGTGAGTGTGTGTGGCGTTATACACACTCTGAGTCAGTAAGTGGGTCAGCCTTCCTGCTTCAGGGCTGCTCTGTGTTTTTTAGACAGTGGACTGAAGACCAGGGGTGGGCATACTTAATGATACAAAAGCCAAGAAATAGAAACAGAAATGCGATTACAAGCATAGATTTGTATATTTGGACGATGATTTGCATTTCTTATGTTTATTACTGTCCTATTCATGTGTATTCTAAGTGTTTCTTTTAACATTAATTTTCCCTATGATGATTACAATTATTACCAAATAAAGAAGAAGCACTTCAGCTTTGCACAATGAGAAACTGCAGGCCGTCAAATGATATTTAACTGTATTTAAATGTGCTTCTTTTGAACATGTTGCGCTCAATTTCTCAAGTCGAACAGTACTCTTAAACATCCCCAGGCCATCTGAATATTTTGCAAACATTTTTGATGAAGTTGCCAAACTGCTGTCTGAAGTTAGTGTTGGTTATTTTAACATTCATGTTGACAACAACGCAGGAAAGCAGCAATAAAGAACTGTTGTATTCCTGACTTATTAACCTCCAAGGGTCTTAAAGTCCAGGTAAAGCAAAAATAAATGTGTAACATTTAGAAAGAAATCACTGATTTTGCTTTAACCTGATTTTATGGCTCAATTCTCAGACCTCCCTTGTTTAACATCTACACCCAAATTTATTAACAAGATCATTAGGTGACTAAAGTCCCATTAAAACACTGGACAAGTGCATCTAACTAATTAAAGGAATACTTCACCCACAAAATAGTCATGTATCTATCAATTTTTCACCCTGTGTTAAGTTAAATTTGTGAAGAAAACGCATGCCTCCACAGTGAGCGAAGAATCCAAAAACAGAGAAAATTCTTGATGAATTTCTTTAATAAAAGCAATACTGTATCAAAACTAGGGCTGCAACGATTAGTCGACTAATCAATGACTAATCGACTATTAAAATAATCGGTGACTATTTTAGTAATCGACTAATCGATTTGAGTCATTTTTCATAGAAAAGTATTATAAATGTACCCCAAAATACTGCAGCTTTACAGCTTTGCAGCTTCTTATGTTGAAATATTGGCAGCTTTACACACTCTCCCATGACGGTGAACTAAAACCCTTTGGCGTGAGTACGAAACAAGACATTAGATGACATAATTTTGAGGTTTGGGAGAGACGGACCGACATTTTTCAACATTTTTCGATAAAATGATTAGTCGACTAATCGAAGAAATAATCGACAGATTAGTCAACAATGAAAATAATCGTTAGTTGCAGCCCTAATCAAAACATCTGTTTACAAAGTCTCACACAACTCATGCAGTGGAATCCAAGTCTCAATTATCCAGCAGTATGTTCAGTACTTCTCAAACACATGCATTTTCACAGAAAACTTTGCATTCAAAACCCTTCTGCACACAAGCAGCATGCCTGGGCATGAACATGCACTTGAACTCCTTAATGGAATACACGAGTGGAGTTCAAACACATGCACTTGCCCGGGGCTACTAAATAAGACTTGGTTTATACTGCACAAGTTGTGACAGAGTTCATAAACGGGTGTTTTGATATCGTTGTCATGGTTGTACAGTTGTTAAACACAGCCCCCCCTTTCACTTCAATTCTTCAAGAAGTTTTTGGATTCTTCGTTCATTGTGGAGGCAAGCATGAAAAACAAAGCTTTCCTCATGAATTTAATGAGGTAACTTAAGTATTCCTTTAATGACTGTATGAGCCATTTGTTTCTCCAGTTAATCAGACATTATTATTTTTGGACCTAAAGAGGAACGACTACTTTGCAAACACACAGACTAACAGCAGGCATCGGCACGTTTGAAATACAATAATAATAATAATAATAACCCATAGTAAACAGACTGTACTTTGTACTTTACTGTCATAACAATGTTCACAGCACTAAGCTGAGTCAACCATGCACTGCAGCATGATCCTGCATGATCTTCTAGTGGGCCGGGAATGTAAGTAGGAAGTTTGTACTGACACAAAGCTGCACACAGAGCCGCAGTATGCAAAGGCCAATGTTCATGGAAAATATTTAATCTTGTGCTGCAGGCACGGCTACAACAACAACATACTTAAAATGTAATACATACTTTAATCAGTGTTGATTTCTGCGGGATTCAGAACTGTAAACACTGTTACATCAGTCAAACTTGCAAATCGCATACTATTGGGAAGAAGTTACTGTTTATTGCTAAATGTGATCGATTGAGCAACTTCCCATTTGTCAACGTGGGTGTGTCACCACTCTGGGTGTTTACAATCTGCTTTCTTCCTCTGCATTAATACTAACAAGATTAACTATCAGAAACAGAGAGAAGGACACTTTATACATATCAAAACCTGAATCAAATCAAAGCACAGAGAGGAGAGGAAAACTAAAGGTCAGTTTTGACCAGGGGTGAGAGCTCACTTCAAATAAAACACACACCGTATTGTGTGGCTATTACACACATGCACCTAAGCCTCAGTTGTTGTCTGGGCTCCTTGTTGTCCCTCCGCAAGCTGTTGACTCACTGCTATGAAAATAGCCAGGAAGCCTGAGCGTGCGTCTATATCTGAGAACACCTCATGGACTTACTGACAGCCTCCCGTCAGTGCCCTTCACCGCTGATCCTCTGAGCCAAAAGTGGGGAAATATTTCTCCCATTACTGTGCAGCGGTGAACCATCACAGCGTCAGCTTTACCGCCACTAACAGGGTAAACGTGAGGAAAACCATGTTTCCTGCGAGACTGTAATTCAGTGGAGAATGAGTGTGTCTTATGCTGTATCATGGGAAAATGAACTTGGAGGATCCTACCTCAGGATGAGAGGTGAAACGTCTTCAAGAAACTCTACCAGTTGCCTACAATATTGCACTTAGAATTACCATTCCCTGAATAAATGACCAACAGTGTGTCTTATTTGAATAAAAAACCCAGGTAAAAAATTCTTGTGATTAAAATGTGTACTTATACATGTAAGTGAGGGATACAGGATACATCAGTGGCCTTCAGTGACTAAGTAAAACTATTATTTATCAAGTAATATCATTATCGATATTAAACAAAGTTATAACATATCATATATATTCAAGACAGGTCGGCAGACAAGACACACCCAAACCAATGCAACTGGGCTGGACAGCCACAAAAGTTTCACCGGCTGACATCAATGCAATAAAAAAGTAATTTTATTTAGGATATCCATGCACAAAAAGCCAGGTGAACCTTGTTGTGGCTGTCCACCCCAGTTGCATTGCTGTGCGGGTGTCTCCTCTGTCCTCCTTTCTTGGTTGTCCATTTCACCGACACACCCAAGTAAACTTTTTTGTTGCCGCAGTGTTACAGCAGCCCTAAGATATCACATATACTCCTCATACCGTGCAGCCCTTATAGTTCCAATAATAGAATTCATTTTGATAACTGTGTCTGATGATGTGAAGCCTTAATAGCTGATTATTTTATGACTATTTTGACAGTTATCACATCAGTATCAGCCACAACATAGTGGCTATTATAAGTAAATTGCTTGATCAATACTGGATTTATGAGGGTAATATTAATATTTGAGAGCAATCCAATAATCCAATAACAATATCTTATCTCACATTACTTTTGTAACCATCACATAATAATAACAGACATACCTTTTTGATAGGGGGGCCAATAAACGTGGTTGTTTGTGAGCTGTTAAACTGACATTTTATAGTTAAAAATCAAACTTTTCAGTGCAGTTTAAACTCATGCACACGTGTTTAATTACTATATGTTTAATTTACATAAAAAAAGAACATTATAAATGTGCCAGTTTGTTTTTTGCCTCATAGCAGTCCCTGGATGGATTATACACACCCTAGAAGACTGTGCATGTGTATACACTATGTAAACATACACTGTTTGTAAACATTTTATTAATATTTGATCATGTTAACAATGTTTTAAGTGACTACCTGAAGGTAAATCAAAATATTAAATTGAATATTCAGTTTCCACTTGTACATGGAGTTAGTTTAGTGGTTCAAAAACAACTACTCGACTTCTGTAACTTCTTTAAAACACCTTCATGTCCTCCAGTTTCACTTCACTTTATGAAAGCTGAGCCACATACTTTCTCCAAACTAACAATGGAGCCTCATTTCAAATCTGTGATCATAGACTTCCTCGTGGGTGTGTTGCACGAGACTGCAAAAACAAACGCCATGCTCTTAGCTGGGAGTTATTATAGCAAACATTAGAGCTGCTTTAAACTACTGAGATTGCATACTGAGATTGCAAAGGAGAGCAGGGTTGAACATGTTTCAGGCATTTAATCGAGTAAATGTGGTCGGTAAAGTTTGCAGAAGTGGCAGAGCAGTCATGGAAGACAGGTCGAAGTAACGGTGGAAGAGATCATATCATACTAGCTGCAAAAACATACTTCAATAAGCACATGCGTGCTCATGTATGGCTGCATTTCAGATACTCACCAGCTGCTGTCGTCTCTTGCCTCTGCAGCGAGGTCAACGGTAGTCGCGTCGCTCTGTGTTCAGTATAAATGCATGTAAAAGCGCGTGTATGTGGTTTGAGAGCAGCAGGAGTCGTAGGTTGTGTGTTGCATGTACCCTCCTCCTCCTCTTCCTCCTGCTGCTGTTTCTGCTGCTGGCAGAGTCTAATCCAGTCTGTCTCTCTCTCTCCACCACGAGGTCAAACCTTATTTACTTCACACTGAGCAGCCAGAGCCCTGCAAAGACGCAACCCAAACACAACTGACCTGCACACACAGGGCCTCAAGTGCAGGTTCAGACAATGCAGATGTGCGTGTATCATAAATACTGTCTGATACCTGTCTGTTTGCCCTCTGAGGTCATTAAATCTACTTCAAATCAAATCTGACGTCATTTAACCAGCACAAGCAGGCAGCACACTTTATCTCTCCAAGCAGACATGCCCTACTTAACTTTATCTCTACATGGCTCTGCTCTGTCTCCTCCCTCCTTTCTTATCCTGAGCTCCTATTGGTCCGTGCTGCCTGTTGACAGGAGGTGGGGACTGAAACTCGGCTTCTCATTGGTTCATCGCACAAGAAAAACAAACTGCTGCACCCCCAGAGCCTGACACCATGTTATTAAGAGGAAAATCCAGTTTTATATTGGACACACTGCCAAAAAAAAGACGTGAAAACAGAGATTTAAACACAAACAAAACACACGTGGCAACCTTGAAAGTAACTGTACCTCTGCTTTGACATTGGCCTCTGCTGCCATCTGCTGTTGAAGTAATGCAACAGCCTAACACTGCCCTGTTTGTTATTGCTGGACAGTTAGAGGCAGGTTTATGTTCCCAGAATCCCAGAATAAACTTTTAGCATATTGTAATTTAAGTGTAAAGAGAGAAAACTAACATGAGACACCTGCATCTTCTCTTGGCTTAGCTTTCAGGCTTCATAAAATAAAGCAGGGGTGTAGAGGTCTATTTTTACATTATTAGACCCTTGGGTGATGACTGTGGGAACTTGTCTCTCGCAGCTGCAAAAATAAAGATAAGTTTTAAAAAAGTTCCCAAAATAATGTACTTTTATTCGAGCCAAAGAGGAGCCAGCAACAGCATGGTGGAAATCTGTGTGCTCCCAGTCGGCCACGCCCTCTCTTGGTACTCCAGGGTGAAGCTATTGAAGAAGCAGGATAAGTCTTCCGCTGCCTTACAGACCTTTTACAATCTGAAGTTTTGTCAGTGGGTCAGCAGCAGGGGTTTACTAATGTTGTTTTAAGAGAGAAGTCTGATACAGATTCTTTTGCACTGAAGATGACAATATGTTTTACAATGTTTGATATCTTTAAATCTGACCACAGGAAGTGTTTATTATTATCTCAGAAAGCTGTATTCTAGTCAGGGTGGAAGTATCTACTCACTGTTTAAACTGCTCCTGAAACCTCTCAGCCTTCACAAGTGCATCAACATTCGGTGTGCAAAGTCATCTAGTGGGCCGGATTGGACCCTTTGGCAGGCTGTATATTTGACACCCCTGAAATAAAGCTTGTGATGGGAGACTGATGTTCGCTCCAGGATGAGGGAGCTGCTACCCTGGCGCTAAGAAAGCCTTCACACTTGATCAATCCTGACATATTCCGAGTGTGCTAACCTAACTTTGACTATAGCCTAGGGCTTGCTGGTCCTGCCTGCAGGTTTAGCCTGGAGTTTGTATACAAGAGAATCTTAAAATGTGAAAAATAGTATCTAAATCAAATATCAGATATCTAACCCAGGGCTAGTAGAAGTGCAATGTGAATTGTATTGCCCTGGACTTATGTTAACCATGCATTAAAAATGTTTGTATGAAAAAGGGGCTAAGTTAGCCCAGGGTCAACTCATAGACCTGAGCTAAGAGAGTGCAGCATGAAAAGCCTATATTTCAATGAGAGGGTGTTGCTATTGGCTGTTTTACAAATGCAGATGCACATGCACATTCATTCATGTTCTATAACTGCTTATCCTGTTAGGGGTCATGGGAAGGCTGGAGCCTATCCCAGCTGACACTGGGCGAGAGGCAGGGTTCACCCTGGACAGGTCACCAGACTATCACAGGGCTGACACATAGAGACAGACAACCATTCACGCTCACATTCACACCTACGGACAATTTAGAGTCACCAGTTAACCTGCATGTCTTTGGACTGCGGGAGGAAGCTGGAGCACCTGGAGGAAACCGATGCTGACACGAGGAGAACATGCAAACTCCACAAAGGAGGGCTCCCACACCCTGGGTTTGAACCAGGAACCAAAGAGGGGCTGAGTGGACGCACTGTGTGCCACTGTACAGTGAAATAAATAAATAAGTCAATACATGGGAAACTGGGTTAAAAAATTATAGATAAAATAATAACATAAAAATTTGACAATGAAATTGAGATAAATCATTACTGTGCTTTAAAATTAAGCAGTAATATGTATGCAATTATAATAACAACTGTAATAAAATGTATAAATAGTCAAAATTCATTTACCCAGAAAATTTTGTTCCTGACTGTCTCTCTGCAGTGTCATTAAAGTGACAGCAGAGTGCGCCACAAATCCACACACAGCTCTTGCCAAACTGCCTGGACCGTGGACAATGTTAAATTTTCACATAATGGATCCACACTAGAGGGAATAAATAATGATCCCACACTGTGAGGCTCCAAGATACCACCAGACATTGTCATGTGGGGTCATACCAAATGCAAAAAGTATTGTGTGTAGAATATTTTAGTCACAACATGTATTTAAAAAATGCTAACATCACTTTAAATTTCTAAATTAGGAGCTGCATGTTAAAAAAGACCCTTATGGGTTCACCTTCCCTGCCACCCTCCATGAAATAAATCACATCTCTGCTGTGTTTCCCTCAGTCACAACCTCTCCTAAATCATGTCCTTTCTTTCCCACCAGCTCCGGATGCTGCTGCTGTTGTGGCCAGGAGTGATTTGAATGGCAAATGACCCCCATGCAAATAAGCAATTAATGTGGACAAGAAGCAGTGTGGGGTCAGTGTGGGCTCTCAGGTCAGGACGAGATGTTGTGTCCTTGTGGACTAAACACTGAGCCGTGTCGCTCAAGACATTTTCCTACATAGTTTTCGTAGTGATTGCTCACTTGACTAATAGTTTGATATTTCTTGGACATTTGACAGATGCTCAGAGCTCAATGATAAGATCCCAGGAATTCACAGTCACACATGGAGGCTGGATTTTCACCAAATACACACTTCTTTAAAGGAACAATCCAAATAAATACACAAGCCGGCAAAACCAGAACAATATAATACCTACTAACAAACAACCCTAAGTGCACACTGGGGAGCATAAGCAAGAGCTAAGATGGTTGGTCTTAAAGGAATAGTTTAACATTTTGGGAAAGGTGATAGCACATTCATACCTGTCTGTTCAAAATGAAGCTGCAGCCAAGAGCTGGTTAGCTTAGCTTAGCATAAAGACTGGAAACAGGAAAACAGTTAGCCTCTGTCCAAGGGTAGTGAAATCTGCCTACCCATAACTACATAAAATTATAAATAAAAGTGGAAACAGGCATCCTTTTTCCCCGTTAGCGGATTGCTTTTCATTTTCCTCAGTACTTGGCAACTACCGACAACCCGCTAACTTAAAAGTTACTTCGGTTGTTCCAGTGTCCACCGTTTCCACAGCTGAGAATAGTAACTGCAAAGAACTTACACTGATACTCTTTTATAATCCAGGATAGCTACTGACAAATATTGAAGAACACAAAACCACTATTCTCTTTCTGTTTTGGTTGCACAATGGTTTACATACTTCCTTTGTGCTGTAAATCAAACCCTCATTTTCGGTGCAATAACATTTGGAAAGATGAGATGAGCTGCACGATTGAATCCTTTTACCCACATTCAAGTTGGCAGAGCCCCTAACAGGAAGCAGCCGGCTTGTCTGGCAGAAGTCTCCAGTGCGCCTGCTCTATTGGCCGCACAGGGTGAAAGCGATGCCGATCATTTGGGTAATTTTATACACAGCAGGTGGACTTGCGCCCCTGAGCAACAACTTCCTCAAACGCCATGTCCAGTTCCCTTTATTCATCTATGACAGCTATGTGACCTACCCACCAGATACATGATCCACCGGCTATACCTACATGACAGACCACGATGAGCCTCATTCGTCTCTTGGTCCAGAAGTGGCAGCCCTGAAGAAAATGCTAAGCTAGCATTTAGTTTGCTAAAAAAAAAATTAAGTTTTAGGGTTATAAGAGAGGTAGTTAGGGTTACGGAAAGGAATATATCTCACTACCTATAAGATGAATCGCATCTTCATGTATAACAAATTCTCAAGTCAAATACTGCTACATTTGGCCTCATATTTGTTCACTGCAACTTCGCATTGTAGCAAGGTTTAAATAGCCGTCACGTTGGTGGGTTCATCTTGTACTGGTGGTGGGAGTGGTTTGTAGGGGTATGTCATGTCGGCCAGTGTTGCCAACATGGCAACTTGTTGCAAGATTTAGCAACTTCTCAGACCTTCTTATCGACTATATTTCTAAAAACTGACAGGTAAATTTGACATTACTATATTGTTTAATATATATTATTATATTGTAGTTAACTCCCATGTATGCTGATCAGAGTAATTGCAGTCTATGGCTCTTCCACCATCAGCACGAGGTGTCTCCCCTGCTCTACTCATCGGAGGAGAGAGGAGACACCACTCAAAGTGGGAGTTTAGCTGTAGTGAGTTTTTATGGGTATACTGACATTCTCGCTCTTATGATTGGAAGCACGGAGTGGTGCACTACAGTACAAGCACCCTAGCTATCATGGATTCAAATGTTATGTTGGGGATTCTTCTATTGAATCAGATTCAGCAAAGTTTTAATAATTCCATTAATGCACGAAGATGTCACCAATACCCAAATGAGAGTGTGACATTTTCTGGCAACTTTCGGAGCTGATGCTAGCTACCTTCATTTGAAAAGAGTCGGCAACACTGTGTGTAGGCTTCAAACGAATGTGGATGCTGCTTCACAGAATTGCATAGTGAAAGCAAGGCTCACAGGGAACCAATCTAAATGCTGATGATGTCATTATTCTGTCGCCATTACATTGTGCTATCAGCATTTACTTCATAATGATAAGGCAAGATGTCTATTCCCAGTTTAACACATCATATCTTGAGTGTTTAATTAAGGAACTTGTTTTTCCCCATTTCCAGTCGTTATGCTAAGCTAAGCTAAGCACACATGAAAGGAGTATCAATCTTCTCATGCAACTCTCGGCAAAAAAGCAAACGAGCGTTTCCCAAAATGAGGAACTACTTCTTTAAGAAGGCACTGCATGGAATTATAATCAGTCTCTTTCTGCGTCTACTGTCACTGCAAACATCAACTGAAAACCATGGCATTTTAAATATATGGTAGAGTGGGACCTACATACCATTTACCTTTAATTCATCAAGAACCTGTTACATTATGAGACATTTTTTTCTCCCTTATCTGCCCGACCAGTTTCTAAATTAATGTTTGCATTCCACATTGAAATAAATGGGTATCATTATCTTAACTTCATCAATCTTTTCTATAGCAAATGTTTAGAACAATGTCTCGCCTCACAATTGGACTTTCTCTCATACTGTAACACATGCTTGAAAACAAAACAACAGCCCAAAATTCAAAATGTCACAGTATCCCATGAGCTAAAAAACAAAAACATAATATAATGTTATAAATAAAAACAGACTGAAATACAAATTAAGCCCAAACTTCAAGAGGATAATAAACATGCACCCAAGACTACGCACAGAAACCGACAGTTAAGACTAGGAGAAGAGTTCATCGTAACATTTAAAGTAAGAACATATTTTCAGTTGTCTGACTTGGCTTTGTAATGTCAAGGCACCGTATAGCTTAAATAAGATTGTTCATGGCTGTAAGTGTTCCACAGGATTTGAGTACACTAAAAATAACGTTACAAAAACTACATCAAACATAATAAACTCTATTGTACACTGTGAACAATCCCAACAAAAAGTGTGAGAAGGGTGAGACGTGTTTGGCCAGGGAAGTCCTCCAGACGCCATGTTGGCTGCAAATATGTTACATGTAAAAACAATGCCCTCCATAACATACTGAATCTACTGTGAGATGTATCATTTAGCTCCACATAATTGCCAGTTACTGCCAGATTATTGTGGAGCAAACATGGCTGCCACTGAAAACCTCACTGACCAACCTGCAGTATCTAAAGTCTAAGTGTGACGGGTTAAAAACAGAAGTTAAAAACAGCTTAAAAGACTAGTTTTGTTTTTCACTGTAAAACACACTCAACTGTACAATCTCTAACAGGCTGAAATGTAATCAAGTGCAGATTGTTTTTTAAAAGAAACAGGCAGTGTGCTGAAGTTGTGGTGAAAAAAGAATCTAATAAAATTGATTTCAGATATGCTGAGGAAAAATAAAATCTACCTCTGACTGAATGGAGATTAATCTAAGTTACGTTGTATAAAAGTCATGAGAGCTGAGGAGCATTAAGGTCAAATATGGAAGTTTAGAAATTAGAATTTAGAAAAATCAGTCTTTTTTGCTACAACCACCAGGGGGCAGCAAAGTCAGACATGTTCAAATTCCACACATAGTGGCTTTAAATTCTGATTCTGGTGACATTTTCTTCCTGAATCTTTTTTACTATCAACAAATCCCACAAAAAGACCAAAAGCAACAATCAACCGGTCCTTTAACTTTTATCTGTGTATCAAAAGGCTGGTGAAGCTTATTCCTCTGTGCCATAGTGCTCCATCTTTGTCCAAAAACACAAATAAGGGACACATTAATGAGCCACACTGTAGTTTGGTTTCCATTCAAATGTAATGCATGGATGGAAATGCACCTACTGTTGCACTGGGTGACATATTCATTCATTACAATGAACATGGGCACTGTTGGGCTTTTTATTTTAGCTGATCCCTCACATTCACTAGCACACCAAAATGTGTATTAATCCGCAGCTGAAAATAGTTCCCAACAAATGCACTATTTCTCCCTGTTTGGGATACGTTTGCTAAAACTGCAGTGTACAGCAGTTTCAGAGAATTATTTTATCTTTTAAAAAACATTAAAACATATATTTTTGCGATCCATTTTTACATCCGACAAGGAGGTTACATATTTGGCTCGGTTTGTGCGCTTGTCTGTTTGGCAGCAAGATTTTGGAAAAATCACTGGCTCAATTTTCATTAAACATGTTGGAAGGGTGATGAAGAAGTCACTGAAATTTGAAGTGGATCCAAATCACAGGGCAGATACCCAAACTACTTTTCACTTTGCAATATACAACATTCACAGTCTGAGCCAGGAGTGCACATGGCTCTCATCTTGGACATCACAGGCAAACATGGAGGTGGCTGAGCTGAAATGGTGGCGTCTGGTAGAGCAGTGCTAACAACGGCAACAGTGCTAACAGAGCTATCTGTGTTAATGAGGGTTTGCTTACAGTCGCCAGGACAACACAGAAGGGGATGGAATGGAGGGTGGGCGTTATGCTTCAAAGATGAGGCCATCCCAATGTATGGTGGTGGGATGGCCTTGTTATCAGCAGTGCTAACAGCAGCAACAGTGCTGACAGAGCTAATACTCTTATCATATGGCGGACTGAGCACTGTTCTCCCGTGCATGCTGGCCAATAAGCTGGCCATTGAGGCTTATTAATTATTTCATTTTTTTCTTAAAATCTAACTTTAATCCTAAATGTATTAATTGAAATTATCATTAAGAAGCATTATTAAGAATTTCATAGTATGGTGTTACTGTTCATATGACAATAAACTTCTCGAATCTAGAATCTAATAGTAGTTTGCTGCTTAGTTAATGTTCTGAATGTTGTATATTGCACCTTCAACATTGTGAGATAGGGCATTTGGTCTTGACAGAGGATTGCGCTCTCTGAGTACCATTTTAGTTTTAAAAAAATAATAAAATTCAAAAATATTATGTCTTCAGCAGGATCTGATGGGCTTGGGGCTGAGAGCCACAGACAGGTATTGGAAGACAAACACATTGTTTTCGGTCTTTTTGTGGGATTTGTTTACAATAAATAAAGTATAAAAATATCACCAGCCTTAGCCTTCAATTTGAATTACATTTTTTTTTGCTTTTAAAGAGAATTCCTTTAGTGAAAATGTTGTCTTGCAGGTAAAATGCATTTTAAAAAAAGAACCTTTTTCACAGCAGACATTTCGACATCCTCGCAGAAAAAACACGGTTGTAACAAATAACATTAAAGGTTCTGTTAATGCTGGTTTACAGGGATGGCTTACTGAGACACTTAATGGAACTAAGCCATCTTTAATGTTTAAAGTTAAAATGTCTGCTGTGAAAAGGCCTGTTGGTTTTCAGGGTTTAAGGATCACATCAAAAGTTCTATGGATGGGAAAGAGCAAGATCCTGAAATCCACTGGACATGAACAGGAAGGTTGCATCTATGAATGGATTTGACCACGCATTGTTACAGGATGATGTGGTTTCTAACATGACGACAAACGTCTGTGAAGGAATCCTTGAGGAAGTCCAAAGTGTTCCCGAGAGAAAGGAAGAATGAATGGAAGTGGTTGTTGTGTGTCCAAATGTTCACTTGGATTTTTTTTCAAACCCTCAGACTTCAAGTCTCAGAATTCACCATGGATAAAATGATGTCCACCAAACTATCAAGTCCAGAAAGGTAACCGTCTTCTCTGTTGCCCTCCACCCACGCTGCTCGGTGGGTTAGCTCTTGTCCTTCAGGAAGAGGTGTGGTTTTCCCAAAGTCGATCATCCAGACCTTGGCCCGTCCCTTACTGTCGTGAACAAATAACAAGGAGCTGCCAATCACCTGCAGAGACACAGCGAGACAATGGGATGAATAAGAAAACAGGAAAGGAACAACTAAAATAGTTTTCTTTCTTTGCTTTTTACTCAACATTACGTGTTAGTTTGTGTCTCTCAAAAATATGATCTCACTTCCTGTTTTGTTACACCAACTTCTTACATTTACGTCTGCTGGTGTGTTTGTGTGTGTAAGTGTGAAACTAAATGTGTTCATGTGTGGTCAGCGCAGCTGCTGTCCAGTTTCCATGATGAGAGCTGTTGTGTTTGTGTGTGTGCACTGGTGTGTCTGCTCAAGTGATTTAGTGCCACTAGATTACACTTAATTACAAAATCAATATATAACTATTTGAACCTACGGTGACGCAAAACACATGTTTACCAGGACTGAAACTAATTTACCAGTTTAAAGGATTTGCAACACGCTGTTCAGTGAATATGTCTCAAGACAGCTGACAGCGGATGGAGATTCACACCTCCTGAACTGAGACCAGTCTGACGTCATAAAGCATTTGCAGTAATGCACAAACATGTAAACTCTATCAGGTCCAAATATACATCTGTATTTTTTAAAAATATTGTGAAAATCCTCCCACATTGGAGATTTGGCGGTAATTTATGGGAAACTTGAACAGTTTGACTTTACGCAGACATTATGAGGCCTAAACATGTGTCCTAGCATTTTGTGTACTCACAAACAAAGCTGAAAATAATCTTGCATCCGCCATAACTCAAACACCCACCCACCCACACACACACACTACATCGGGGATACTCAACTTGCTCTCAACTCTTGCAAAATGACATGAGGCCTGTTAAAGAAGCTGTATACAACATACAGACCATATCTATGATTCTGAATCAGGGCTGTCTGCACATGATTCTCAACATGGAGATGGCTGAGCCGGCAACAAGCAGCTAATGGTGCTAACAGCAGCAACAGTGCTAACAGAGCTAAAGGTGCTCACCTAAGAGAGGCCCATAGGGTGCACTTGCCATTATCAGCAGTAACTGCCCATAACCACCGTATAGGTGCAGTACAAAGGGGCGGAAATTAGCTCGCCAGTGGATAAAGACATGCACTAACATTCACTCAAGTCTACTGTCTAACACAACCACAGAGAGAAGCTTGAAATACAACACGCCCAGAGGGAGCGTGACTTCATTCTCCATCAGGACGCCATTATATACACCGCTATATTAATGCTCTCAACGTCGTATACAGAACCTTTAATAAACAAACACTGTGTACCGGGCACGTCCAACAGTTAGGAGGCCCCGGGACAGACACAAAACACGTTGGAGGGATTACATATCTCATCTGACCTGGGAACGCCTCAGGGTCCCCCAGGAGGAGCTGGAAAGCATTGCTGGGGAAAGGGATGTCTGGGGTGCTTTGCTTGGCCTGCTGCCCCCACGACCCAGCCCCGGATAAGCGGATAAAAATGGATGGATTTAAATAATCAGCCCCCGCCAACTTGGCTTGTTTCGGTGAACGTTGCTGTCAATGAACCCAGTTCAAACTTTCAAACTCAAAATGGTCAAATATTCATATTGAATGGTCAAATCCAAGTCGACTGACATAAATCTGAGTCAGATACATCCCTATGCTTTTTTTTCTTTGATAAACAAGCTCTGTTTAGATGTTTTTATGCACTTTGACACCTTATTAACTTTAAAAGTACAAAAAATAACCAGTGTGAAGTTGAGTTCCACTGTACATGATATTACATACATACACACACATTTTTCACATAATTTCTTTGTGAATAAGGTTTCATTTTTGCCTTTTTGGGTAAATGTATACATGACAGTCTGTGAGTTGCACCGCATGAGCAGCAGTCCGTCGTTACCTCGTGGGTTTTGAAGAACGGGGAGATCTCCAGAGTGTCTCTGACTTCCTTCAGCCTGTTTAGATAACCGTTCTGGAATAAAATAAAACATAAGCTTTTATTTTCTATTCACCAAATTCTGTTGTCTGTATCAGAGCTGGGCTGCTGACAGAGCCATGTGATGTATCCTCAGCAGAGTCTGTTACACAATGTTGCTTTTATATTTTTTACAATCAAAACGTGTGTTGGATTAATTTCAAAATGAAATGCCTGTCTTGATGCATTTTAATAAAAAAAAAATCAAACAATGAACACATTCACAAGCATGCACGTGTACATGTGACAAAATACATGCGTCAGTGCTGTAAGATACTAATAGTGTGTGTGTGTGTGTGTGTGTGTGTGTTTGTGTGTGTTAAGAGGCCCAGGGAGTTCCCAAGGACTTCCCTTTTCTTCTGGCCGAGGAAGCTTAAGGTCGCACTGTTTATGTGTGCATCTGCTTGTACATATGTGTGAGTGTTCTTAAAACAGTGCAGAACAGTTCAACTTGAAATTCCTCGTGTTTTTTTTGTCCCATACAGAGGTCAAGGCCGTTGACACACACACACACACACACACACACACACACACACACATAAGCTGCAAACACACACAAACCGCAAACACACTCACCAGTATGTCCTTATTTCCTTTGACAAAGTCGTTGAAGGCTGCAGTGACTTGTTCTCTCGTCTTTGTTTTCTTAAAATCCCTGTTCACCGTCCCGTCTTCCTTCTGCGAGAGGAGAGGAGAGGAGAGGAGAGGAGTCAAAAACATCAGCATGAGAACTAACTTTACATTAGAGTTCACCCTTGGGTTTATTTCTCCTGGCAGCGTAACACAAATTTTAATTTCAGGAATAATTAGGATGTAAATAACTGTTTCCTTTCTCCGTCCTCATAAACTACAACTTCCAGACTCCTTTTAGACATGGGAGGGACGGGAGCATGGCAAAGGACGGGAAGGGAGGAAGGAGAGGGAGCAAAGGAGAGGATGGATGAGAAAAGCAGAACAAACAATGAGGGGAGGAAAGGAAGGACGGAGCCAGCGTTATTTTTAGAGATTTAGCCGGGAATTAAAGCAGGGTAGGGTCTCTGACTGTTTTACTGACCTGAGTCACACACAGGAACACTTTGTCTAATCGCACTAACTCGTCATTCCTGTGGCCACTTCCTGAATTCTGATATGGGAACTAACAATCAGCAATTATTGTCAGTTCATTTATTCATCGTTTAATCTGGACATTTTCAGGAAATATTGAAAAATGGTTCCCCAGAGTTGCTTATTTTGTCTTGATATTCAGTTTTAAAAATGACTTTATCAACTAATTAATCAAAAGAGTTGGTGATTAACTTTTTATTGAGCGACTGATGATTAATCATAGGTCTCAGGGCATGAAGTGACCTGCAGTTCTGACTCTGCCAACACATCAAGCTCGACTAGGCCGTTTAATTGGACTACTGTCCTTGTCCTAGCATAGACGCACAGGAGGGGAATTGATTTATTGACCGAAGTATGTCTGACTCTGCTACGATAGGTGGTGACATGCCCTTTAGGCTAGTTAGTATCGGACCTTTTTCCAGCTGACCTATTACGTCACAGACCAAACAATCAACAAACAAGTTAGCTACAGTTAGCTAGCAGCTAACTGGTACCATGGTGGACAACTTTACAGCTCTGTACATTTGGTACGTCCAAAAATGCACGGCTCTGGATGTAGATTTCACCATGTTGTCAGCTTCTTCTTCTTCTTCTGTTACGCATTTAATGCTTTCGACTTCCAGGTCAAAGCCCGGGGCGGACACTGTGGAACATGCACTGGTCCAATTCATTGTATACATGCAGAATAATTCGACTCCAAATTGCATTATCTGGGTGTGTTGTCCCACTTTGAGAATTTCGTTTTGGTACGATATCAGTCGTAGCAACATGTTTACCTGTATTTGAAAAGTCTGGTTTTATTTGGACTATTAAAATAAATCGATTTTCTCTGATGTCATGTAAACCTAAACTGTTTTTGTCAATGGAGTCTGGCTTTGAAGAAAGCTGAATAAGTTTTACTTTCAGTCAGTTCCCTGTCACGGATAGGGCTGTCTGTTTGGGAAGTATTGAACATACAACTGGATAAATGAGACTTGGATTATACTGCACGAGTTGTGTGAGAGTTTGCTGTTGTTAAATGTGGACCGTTACGGCTTCAATTCATTAAAAAAATTTTCCTCAGCGTTTGTATTCTTCATTCACTGTGGAGGCATGTGAGAAAAACAAAGTGTTCTTCATGAATTCAAAGTAACACAGGGTCAGTAACTGATATACAAATGATTATTTTGGGGGTGAAGTATTCCTTTCAACATTAATTTTACTCTCCACCTCTGGTTATAGCAAAGTGGAAGCACAATGAAGCAGAGGAACAGTAGTGGTAGTAGTAGCAGTACTGGAGCTGCAGCATTAATATCAGCCGTGCACATACAGTAGTGGGAACAGTACAGTAGATTAGCATCAGACGCAGTACCAGCAGGGAGAGCCAACTGGTCAGTTGGTTCAGAATAATAGAAATAAATGAGCTGTTTTTATTCTGCTGGCTGCCAGGCAACAAGATACTGTTTGGAGACAAAACTATTTTTCCCTTTATGGTTCAGGTCTGACTACAGCTCTCTCTCATGCTTTCTCTCACACACACACACACACACACAGACAACATACCTAATTACCACATGCTTTCCACATACATAAGAGCTTATACAATCTATATAATACACAGTTAGACACATGCACATGTACAAGAACAGTGGGTGAACTGCACATGAACCGCATGAACTGCACATCCATACTTTATATTAACACACAAACACACACACACACACACACACATCTGTGTTCCTGGGGATAACCCTTAGTGTCATGGCAACAGACCACCGGGAGGCCGTGAATGTCCTTATATAGCCACAACCCTCAAATAAAGACAGCAGAGAGATTTGTGTGTGTGTGTGTGCATGTGTGTGTACAATGTCAGTGCCAGATGCCAGGGCATATAGAGCTGCCACGGACAGGCCTCGTGTGCGACAAAAGATCTCATGCACAAACATATACTTCAGAGGAAGTTTCCTTTCAAAACAGGAAGTTAGATCATGCCCTTGAAGGACACACACACACACCCCCTTACACAGAATACTGGAAGAAAGGAGGGAAGGAAGGGCACACACACACACACACATACACACACACACTCACACATACACACACCTTCCTCTCTGTGACTCTTACCTTGACTCCTTCTATCCTAAACCCCAGGGTGGCTGTTGAGCTGATGGTCTCCCTCCACTGCATGTATCTGGGTTTGGTCACTGCTTTCTGGAGGTTTTCCTCTGGCGTCGGCGCGTCAGGATCGACCTCGATCATTTTCTGATACATGTCGGGTCTTGGGGAGGGTTTCTTACGAGCCTTGGTCAGCTCTTCCTCCAGGTAGGTCCTAAAGGGTGAGAAAAAAAAGAACAGGTGGTGGGCGGTGAAGAAGACAGAGAGGAAGAAAGGGTGGGTGACAGACATGAGCACAGAGAGGTAGGAGGACGAGAAGAGAGGGTGAAAGCGAAGGTGTGAAGAAGACGTCCCTTTCCAAACAGTATGACACAGCTGTTATGTGTTAACATCTAGGAAAAGGCGACATCGATGAAAAGAAGTCTGGCCGGGTGAGAAACGTGAGCAGTGAGACGGGTTTTAAGAAGCCAGACTCTTTTGGAGGAGAAATGATAAAATCATTTCACAAAAACACCCGTCACAGTCTGAAATGCAACTTCCTGGTTCAACGTTGACTTAAAGGACTTGTCACAGTTTTTGCGTGCATTGAGAAATTATTACAGACATTAGCCGTGCTCACACTTTGGCCTTTAACTCCTGATAGAGATTTACTGGTTTAAATCACCAGGCTAGTTTGTTTAGGAGAAGAGACCTCTGCGGATAATTCGACTCCTGCTACAAACCTCCTGAATGTCTGGATCTTAAATCAGAGAAACTCGAATTAATACCTTACGGTGTAACCAGTCAAGCTGCAGCTACAGTTTATATCCATGTCTGTCCAGACTCATACGAAGCCATGACAGTTAACAAGGCTTCACGGCTGGGCAAGCAGCCAAACAGCGTCGGAGAAACACTGATTTCTCACATGAAACTGCTTCATTTGGTGTTTTCACCACTTTTAATCACCTGGTCTGTTAGTTTTGTAGAGGAAGAGATCTCTACGAATAATTCGGCTCCTGGTAGAAACCTCCTGAATAATGAACACTGAAGGAATTCTAACCAGGAGTTCACACTCAGCACACAGGAGAAGTTTCAGCTCGTTGTAATCTGCAATCCTCACCACTAGGTGCCACTAAATCCTGCGCACTGCTCCTTTAAATACACCTTTAACTTTCCATCTCCTTGCAGATTAAAGAAACACAGAAATTTAGATTAATGCCATGTCACGTGTCTGCTCACCTCACTCCCATCTTGCAGTCCATCACACACGGGAAATCAAACTCAGCCAGCAGATCCTCCATCTGGTTATATTTCTGGCCGTCCTTCTCTACGTCTCCATGGTAACCAGGGACATACGGACGTAGTACATCCCTCATCAGGAGGGACAAACAGCGCTGCTCACAATCACAGTGTTTCTAAAGGATATCAATAAGTTATTGTCAGTCTATACTCTTACACACTGACTCAGTGTAAACACTCTGTAAACCACAGCAACTTTCCCTGCAGTAACAAAGAAGGTGTGATTGGTGTGAAAAAGTGTCTTACTTTTAATATACGGCCGTTGGCTCCTGCCTTGAAGCTTCCTGTAAAAAGACACAATTTTACTGTGAAGCAGTTGCAGGAAACCTTTAGATGCAGTAACTAGGAATAGCTTCGCTTCAGTTCGTCAGAGTTAAACTGACGTGAGAAGTTTAAACCAACAATTGTGGTTTGTCACATTTGTTTGTCAGTAAATCATCTTCACACAAGTGAACTGGTTTAATGGTAAATTCTGTGTTTTATTCAACCTGGACCCTATTTTCCCCTGTTTGTGTTTAAGTGACCAATGTTTTTAAACTGGTCCTGTATTGACCGAGACCACTAAGTGCAGTTGAACAGGCTGCAGTGTAATGACTCGGAACAATGGAAAGACAAACCAAGACATGTTTTCAGAGTTTTATTTTGTTTCTGTCAACTTTGAATGAAACGTGTTTTATGATGATAAAATTATTTTTTATTTAAATGGAGTCTGGAGGGTTTGGCGATAGAGATTTGGGGGCTGTTTCTGGTTCAACAAAAAAGCTCCCACTTTCCAACAAAGAGGTCTGTGTCTGTAGGATCCTTCTCATAATGTTGATAGACGCTCTCTCGAAGTTAGCCTTTAAGCAAGGAAGAGCTGCAGGCTCTTAATTTTATGCGGCTGAGCCTCCAACCCCAAAGACACCTATTCAAAAGAGGCACCACCTGATGTTTCCAAATCCTGTTGCTAACCATCCTCACACACACTTTCCCTCAGGGCCCTGACCTTTAAGAACTAGCTGCAACAAAGACAGACTAATGTGGCAACTCACATTTTCTTAAAAAAAAAACAAAAAACAACACAACAACTTGCCTGGACACGTTAGTCTTATGAACGATGCTGTTTGTGTGCACATACCTGCATGTCCAGCCAGTTGTATCCAGGGATATTTCTTCTTAAAGGACATGACAAACGGTGACCAGTGGACCATGTTTTTGATCTTCTTCCAAGACTTGTGCTACAAACACAACATCAGTGATTATTCAGAGTGATGTTTCATTTACAGTGTAGTTTTGTAGCAGGAAATTAATAAGTGTATGCTGTGTTACTCTGCAGTTACACCTCCAAAACCCTAGTCAGCTATGGAGGTTTCTGTGAAGTGCTGCAAAGTTTAGTTGATTCAAAACACACATTAAACACACATTAAACATGGCTTAATAGAGACAATATCAAACACAAGTACACAAATCAGCTTCACTATAACTTGCAGCATTCACAGACAAGCACTTGTCTTTATCTGGACACATTTCCCCCACAAATACAACATGCTAATGTTATTAGCACAAGCCTATGGCATTTTACATTGTATAAATTAGCCTAGTGGCTAGCAGACTTTTCCTCTGCTCATATGAAACCAGGGACAACAGCAACATTTAAAAAAGGCAATGTTAAAAAATTCAACTTCATTACAACTCACAACATTCACTGACAAAACACCTTATTCTGAACACATTTTCCAAACCAATATAAAATGGTAACGTTATTAGCACAAGCCTATGGCATTTTACATCGCATAAATTAGCCTAGCGACGAGCAGAGATTTCCTTTGCTCATATGAAGCCAGGATAAATCACACACAAGACTTAAAATGCTATTTTTGTGGAGGCTTCTTCTTCTTATCTGTGAAATTAAAGTTAATAAAAGCTTTGTTTCCACTGAGGGAAATGTTTTCAGCTTACAAAAATAGACAGGAGGTCTGCGCCGCCATGATGTGTAGTTACATTTCTGGGGAGGTGCACGTTAGGCTACAGCGAAGGCTCAACTTCGGTTAGACACAGAAATATAAATCCCACAAAAGGCTGCCTTGTTTATTTCAGTTAAAATATTTATGACCACTGGTCAAAGATTCACCATCCATAAACATGTTTCAACCAAAGTCCATTAAAATTGATGTCAGTAGGGCTGGGTGTTAAAAACTATGATACCAGTACAAATACCAGTGCCCTTAAAGTGATACTAATACAGAGTACTCTGTTCTTCTGCTTCATCCGATGCCCATCATGTGATAGAAGCATTCATTTGTATAAAATGCTGCCTCCATTTTACATGAATGCATTTTCAAAGTATCTACATTATTAAAATATTTATTAAATAACCATACAAACTTCACCAGTACTTATACGGTACTTGACTTCACCACACAATAGAGGGTGTGGGTTGTGGCTGCTGTGGTAGTGAGCCAGTAACACGTGCCAGTAATGCTTGCAGTGAATAGCTGCGAGCAAAGTCATACCAATACCTATTGTCATTTTTTCAAGACCTGGGTACAGAAAGGATCGAATGCAGGTATTGTTTCACTGGAGAAGTTTCAATACTACTTGGTACCGGGTTATTTCAGCTGATATCTTCAAGTACCGACAGCCAACCCTCATGTGTTTTCTGGGTATGCAAGCTGTCTCTCGACCCTTTTGAAGACATGATATATGATGATGGTATGAGTTCACCAACTCCATGCAAACTTCCTTAAAATATGGATTCAAGGTCAGTCTACTTAATGCTGAATCCCTCAGCTGACAGTGAGCAGTCAGCTTAAAATCCTCCAGGAAATAGAGCTCCGACAGTTTAAATTCTCTTTTAATACTTTCGGCTTATCCAGTACTTCATCACTGTTTCATTTAACGGCCATAAGCAAAAACCGTCTTTAAAATATGCGCACGCACACACACACACACACACACTGAGGGGCATCCCTGACCCCGGGGGGAGCTCTCTTCAGTCTCTCTCAGTCTGCTTCTCCCACACTCTCTTTTTATTTTCTTTCGCTGTTTTCGAACATTTTAACTAAACTCTGGAGGATCAAGTCGGGGTTTCCCCTGGTAACACACACACACACACACACACACACACAGTCTCTCCAAGGGTTCTCCCTGTCCCTGGCAGGGAAACACTGAACTGCGGGACTCCTGCCACACACACAAACAAGCACACACAAACTCACTGACAAACAGGGACACATGCTGTCTCTGACACAGGCGCGCGCACACACACACACACACACACACACACACACACACACACACACAGCAAGTTGTTTTCAATATCAACAGTTTTCATCTCAGTGACTTCAGACTGATTCGAGTCCTGTTCTCACTCCCTCCAGCTCTGCAGTCCAGTTCTCTGTCTCTGTGATGGAGAGACTTTTCCTTCCACACAGAAATATTAATAATTGACTGTTAAACTAAAAGTACTGTCTGTTCCCTGTTATGTTTACTGGACAAGTGCGTGACAAGTCTTAAAAAATACAGTGTGAAATATCGAGATGAGCAAAAACACCAGCCAAAACTTTCTTTTCTTTATTCTCCTAAATTCTCCTGTTAGTAGATTTGAATTTATTATCTTGCTGCATGTTGCAACACCTCCGATAAGCTACAGTTTATCACTCTTTTTGAGTGAAATATTCAAACCAAAGACACAGTTTTTATGCCTGCTGCATTACATCAGATGGAAAAACTCCAGATGTCTTGTTCTGTGGGTTTAAACAATGCTTGGCTGTGCAGCGTTGTGAGCTACGGCTGGATGCAGCAGCACTAAAAATGAGGGAAACTGAAATGTTCTGAGGAGTTTCTACTTAAAGACGCAACAAACACTTTCATAACAGATTTTTATATGTGTGAATTAAGTTGACATTATCACAGACGTAAAATCCACCTTTAAATGATCACATCTGGTCAGTGAGTGCATCTTCAGTAATATAATATTTATACTGAAATCCCCTGTCCTACACAGGTGCAAATTATCTGTTAATGGTGTGATCTCACACACAGACAATTTCCTCTGGTCTGCAAATACCAGGAGAAATAATATTATGTCTACAAATAACCAAGAGAAGAAGAGCGATGGGAGGAGAAGAAAAAAGAGGAGGAGGAGGAGAGGACGGATAAGATAAGAGAGGAGAGGACCATAGAAGGCGATATATAACCCATGTCACATAATCTGGACCTGATGAAAATCCATCATCTGATAGCATGACTATCTATGGTTAGAGGCACACACACACACAAACACACACCTTTCAGACACATACTTTCTCATCACTCTCCCTCGCACTCTGTCTCTGTCCGAGGGAGTGAAGAGTCACATGAAGGGTTTTTCTCTGCACCACTGACGGAGAGTATAACACACACACACGTGTACAGATCACATGGTGGAAACTGACTGCAGGGCAGGGCAGCTGAGATGGGTCTCAGAGGGAGCTTGAACCTGGGACGTCATGAGGATTTCGGTATGTGCCCTTTGAAAACTTCAGTATTTCTAGAAGTCTCTTGAAAGGATCTCTTGGGTACATATCATTTGAAATGATGTTACTTGCTTAATCTTATTTTAGAACAGAATGCTGATTCAGTACGGTTTAAAATAAGATGAGGGTGGCCTGGAGGTGAAAGGGGTCATCCAGCAGAAGCCGTACTGGGAATCTTCCCGTGTCAATAACTGCGGTATCGCAGATACAAGCGGTCGAAATGAGTTTCCTCCGTGGGGTGGCTGGGCTCAGCCTTAGAGATACGGTGAGGAGCTCGGACATCTGGATGGAGCTCGGAGGAGAGCCGCTGCTCCTTCGCGTCGAAAGGGGTCAGTTGAGGTGGTTTGAGCATCTGATCAGGATCCTCCTGGGCACCTCCTGTTAGAGGTGTTCCGGACACATCCCTCTGGAAGGAGGCCCCGGGGCAGACCCACAACATGCTGGAGGGATTACATATCTCATCTGGCCTGGGAACACCTTGGAGTCCCCCAGGAGGAGCTGGAAAGTGTTGCTGGGGAGAGGGACGTCTGGGGTGCTTTGCTTGGCCTGCTGCCCCTGCGACCCTACATGGATGCTAAATAAACCAATCCAATAAGATGTGCCTCTATATACCCTAAAGCATTTATTCAGAATAGAACTTCTTGACTTGTGTAAGTGGTTTAGTCCACTGTGAAGCATCTAACCTGCCAGAAATATAACAGAAGAAGGTTTTTTCCCCAACTTTATTGACAAAATTAAATTCATTCAATACATAAAGTAAGAAGGGGAAGAAGTGGTTCCACCTGGTCATTTAATTGATAAAAATACGTAACGCAAGTGTAACCCATCTTATTTTATGTTGCTACAAATTACAGATGTCCTATACACATCTCACATGCAGACTATTAGCAGATTCAACAATTTACCAATGTTCCCGATAAATAATTATTATGCACAGGGACTCTACAAATCAGCCTGTAGCAACAATGCTGCATAGGTCTACTGTTTCAAAATCAAAAAGCACTCACATACGAACGTAGCACTATCAGAGCACTAAATATTTTTTTTTATTTAATGAACCATTTGCGACACCCACCAGTTCACCTGGTAGAGCAAGCACCCCGTGTACAAAGGCTGTGTCCTTGCTGCGGGTTTGGTTCCAACCCACAGCCCTTTGCTGCCTGTCATTCCCCCTCTCGCTCCCCCTTTCACGCTAAGTTGTCCTATCAAATACAGGCAAAATGCCCCCAAAAATATCTTTAAAATAGGGATGCACCGAAATGAAAATTTGTGGCCGAAGCCGAAGCCGAATAATATTAAACGCTTGACCGAATACCAAGTACCGAATACCGAATGCCGTTGTTTAGTTTTTCATTAGTTTTTGCAGATGAACCCCCTCCAGATTAGTGTTGTCACGGTACCAAAATTGGGACCCACTGTACAATACTAGTGAAAGTATCACGGTTCTGAGTAGTATCACGATACCACAGCGAAAATTAGGCAGATGTGCCTTTTGTCATTCATAAAAAGATAAATCACTTTTCGATAATACATCAATGATATTTCAATGGAATAAATTACTTATTGACTTATTCATACTTCAAAAACAGCATCAATAAGTGATGAACATAGGGGGGATCAAAATAAAATAAATAAATAAAATAAGAATCAACCAGCCACCCTCCTCCCCTGACAAGTCCCTTCATAAGTAATGAACAGTCCCTAAAGTGCGGTGAGGCCTG